TAGAGTTACGAGTTCGATTAGTATTTACTAACGTAAGAGAAGATAAGATCCGACTAAGTATAGATAGAAAAGACGAGTTCTATAAATAATAGTTAAATCGAGAAATATATCGTCTAACTTATAACGAAGATTAACTACGAGAGACTATAAACTTAACTTATAAAAGATCGACGACTATATAGATATAGAAGACTCGTAGTACTCTATCGCTCTATTACTCTAATCTAGTATAATAGTATAGTATTATATTCTAGATTACCCGTTTCGAAAGTTACGTACTTCTCGTATATAGATCTTCGATAATCCTTCCTTATTAATAGCACCTAACGAGGTTGTCCGGATTCTATGCGCCTGAGGTTCATGCATAAATCTTGACATATCTAAATAAACTTAGAAACTTAGAGTTCGAGTAAATTATATAGAGCTAGTATAAACTTAATACACTTTAATATAAGTAATTCTGGACCGGTTTCGAACCGATTATGGATCGACTCCGAACCGGGTTCGAACCGATTCCAAACTGTGTTAGATATAAGTATATATTCGACCTTTAAACGGGTTCGAAACTATAGGGTGGGCTATGTACTATATATATAGTACTAGTACTTACTAGTTATACTAGTCTAGTTCTAGTAGTACTTAGTAGAGTTCAAGCTGACCGTAATAGGTGTTGACAAGGTTCAAGTTGTTACCCCAAGGTCGACCCTGTCAGCACTATATATGTATGAAATTCAAAGGAAAGCTCTACGAACGGTGCAAACACTCAAGTCGAATATACTTAAGTACTAGTAGTACAAATATTCGAATTATCGAAGGCTGTATTGTACTGCAAGGCGGCAGGCAGTACCTACATAGTACTTAGTATTACTAGTGCTGTAATTCAGTACCAAGCTTGGACTGGTTTTTACTCAGTAGTACATACTAGTAACTAGGTACTTAGTACTTAAGTACTATGTATGTTCGTCTTGCCGCCATGCGGAGGGATCACAAGTTTCTAAGGAACAAATTTCGTCAAAACGGAGAGGTGATCTTCAGCCAGGCAGCCGCCACATATTACCGTCACCGTGGATGTCTGGAGGTGGTCACAATCGCGGCCCCTCTGATATTACAGTGGTAGTACTAGTACCTACCTAGGTAACATTGCTGCTGTTCATCTGATTACCGAAAGAACAACGACTACTAAATACATACCTACGTAGTAATTGCGGGTTGGGGGTTCCGCAAATAACAGCGCACTCTGCCATCGGAGTATCATTTGTCTCTTAAGCTTATTTAAAGTACCTCTGCTACCTCGTCTTCGCAGCGTTGAGTTTGATTTCAAGTCGTAGTCCGACCCTGTCGGTGTGGGCGGAAGGTCACGCTACGTGTCGACGATGAAAGGGACAATCATGTCGAACCAACATGCCACGACGATGATTTGGGCGGAAGCTGGTTGGTTGCAGGGACGTTGTGGCATGACAATTGGACGTCGGTTAAGTTGCCCAATGCAGCGCCCTTATCCTTATCAAATGCGATAACTTTTTCCCGCATGAGTTGAGTCAATCATCTCCTCCGACGGGCACAGTTGACACCATTTGCAGCCCTTTTGCACTGCTCCTGCACTATATCAAGCATCTCCAAGATGGGTGTCGGCCTCCTCGTGTCTGTTGAAACTGGGGAGATACTGTCGGAAAAGCCAAAAGGACTGACTCTAGACCAAGTCGGTTACTTGGGACAATGCCTCGTTGATGCCACCCCCGAGAACTTTGAGTCGAGCCTTTCTTTTCTGCGGCAGAACTTCTCGAAACTTGCTATCAATTACGATGTTCGGAAACTCAAGAGCTGGGACAACGTAGTTGACCTGCTCAACAATGGCGCGACGAAGCTATTCGTCACATTTGAACAGTTAAAAGCCCTGTCTCAGGAGCCTACGATATCTCCCGATCGCCTTGTCCTCACCATCTCGCTGGTCAACCCTAAGACCGATATCGGCAAATTGAAGTCTTTTCTGGAGACGAATCCGCAATGGATGACGAGAGAATGGGCGTTTGACGGCGATAAAGGCAATGAGGAGGTAGATGCGGTTCTGAAAGAGCTGGGGAACTACCCTCCAAGCCCCGATCAGACCATCTTTGTCAGAGTCTCGGACGATTCAGAAGGACGGAATCTGCTTCACGAGTATCCCGGAAATGCGCTCATCGTATCTTCCAAGCTCTTGACTTTCGATCAGACAAAGGAGGGACACGAGAACCTGATTCCTGCTTTGGATTTGCTGCTTGCCGGCGCCACTCCTGACCGCAGAACCGGCCTTTACGCTACCACTGTGGTAGACGAACGTGGCGTGGCCTTGGGTCTAGTATGGAGCAGCAAAGAGAGCCTGGCCGAAGCTCTCAAAACTGGAACCGGGGTCTATCAAAGTCGTAAGAGGGGGCTGTGGTATAAAGGAGCGTCGAGTGGGGACACTCAGGAGCTCATTAATATTTCCTTCGACTGCGACAAAGACTGTTTGCTCATGAGGGTGCATCAAAAGGGCCGAGGGTTCTGCCATCTGGCGACCATGTCGTGCTGGGGTAAGGTCTCTGGACTATCCCGACTGCAACGGACACTTCAAGAGCGCAAGGTGGATGCACCCGCGGGCTCCTACACCGCTCGGCTCTTTAGCGACCCGAAACTCGTCAACGCAAAGATCAAAGAAGAAGCAGACGAACTTTGTGAAGCAAGCACCAAGGAAGAGATCGCCTCTGAGGCAGCAGACTTGTTCTACTTTGCACTGGCACGGTGTATAGCAGCGGATGTGACCTTGGAGGATATTGAGAAGAACCTGGACCTGAAGAGTTTGAAGGTCAAGAGAAGGAAGGGCGATGCCAAACCTCAATATGTCGAAGAGAAGCCTCCCAAGGAAGAAAGTCCCAGTCAGACGAATGGGATCAACGGTCAGCAAGACGAGCAAGTCAGAGAAGCCGTTTCTGTGCCGAAATCGCCCTCGGATCCGGCGGGCAAGACGACTACAGGGCGGATACAACTGACACGATACTCGACTTCACAAGCATTCTCTGATGACGTTATAAAGGCTGCCCTGCAAAGACCGTCACAAAAGTCCAACGAGAAGATTATGTCTCTGGTCCACCCAATCATCGCTGATGTTCGCAGTAACGGTGATTCCGCAGTCTTGAAATACACCCACAAGTTCGAGAAAGCAACAAGCCTCACGTCACCAGTTCTGAAAGCACCTTTCCCAGAATCCCTCATGCAGCTGCCAGAAGAGACTATCAAAGCAATCAACATCTCTTACGACAACATCCTGAAGTTTCATTCTGCCCAGGAATCACCGGCTCCTTTGGTAGTTGAGACCATGCCCGGTGTCACCTGTTCCCGCTTTTCTCGACCAATTGAGAAGGTCGGGCTTTACATTCCTGGCGGTACGGCAGTGCTGCCCTCCACCGCACTTATGTTGGGTGTGCCAGCAATGGCTGCGGGATGCAAGAATATTGTGTTGGCCTCGCCTCCAAGGTCTGATGGCACCGTTAGCCCCGAAATTGTGTACATTGCCCACAAGGTTGGGGCGGAATCGATAGTACTGGCTGGTGGCGCTCAAGCTGTTGCTGCGATGGCTTATGGAACGGAGTCAATCACCAAGGTTGACAAAATTCTTGGCCCTGGCAATCAGTTTGTTACCGCGGCGAAAATGATTGTGAGCAATGATACATCCGCTGCCGTGTCTATTGATATGCCTGCCGGTCCGTCCGAGGTGCTTGTGGTTGCCGACAAGACTGCCGACCCAGCGTTCGTGGCCAGCGATCTTCTCAGCCAGGCGGAGCACGGCACAGACAGCCAGGTTGTTTTGATTGCGATCGACCTGGATGAGCAACAGCTGCAGGCCATTGAAGACGAGGTGCACAAGCAAGCGCATGAACTTCCCCGAGTGGACATCGTGAGAGGTGCAATTGAGCACAGCGTTACCATCTCGGTCGGCAGCTTGAAGGAAGCCATGAAATGGTCCAACTACTATGCGCCGGAGCATCTTATCCTGCAGATTGAAGATCCACGATCGGCACTTCCCGACGTCCAGAATGCGGGCTCCGTGTTTATCGGTGGCTGGACACCTGAGTCTGTCGGCGACTACTCAGCCGGTGTGAACCACAGTCTACCAACATACGGTTACGCCAAACAGTACTCCGGAGTTAACCTGGGCAGTTTCATGAAGAACATCACGAGCAGTGAGGTCAACGAGAAGGGTGTGGGAGAGGTCGGCTATGCTGTCATGGAGCTTGCCAGATGTGAGGGTTTGGATGCCCACAGAAGAGCCATGGAGCTCCGCATGGAGAAACTGGGCCTTGTTGAGAGAAGGAGTGCGCCGAAAGCCGTGGATTCCGTGGCTTAAGGCAACGCTGTTGTACATGTTGGAAAGGAGGACGTTGTGCAAGCGATGCAATGAACACGACGGCCACCTGGCCTGGATCTCATGATAGCGTTCTATTAAGCCGTTGTGGGGATCCTCTCGATGAGTGTTGTGTCTCTCAGGTATTGATTGCATAGACTATCATCTAGCTGTAGGGCATGGTGAGATGGGTATAATGAAATGGCGACAACTTAGAATTGGACCTATAGACTCCTTCTCAATTGTCCGCGTTATATAAGATTGTTGAGCATCCTACGAATAGACAGTTGATGGAGCAGCGAGTATGTTAGATGGTGCAATACTGCTGCGCTGTCAGCTATATCGTGTTCAAGGAGTGCGGTGTTGAGTTGTAGTGGTGATGATATCCCATTCCCTCATAAATTACCAGGCAAAAAGGGCTGAGCCAACAGACACTGCCAAGCATCACTGTGTTGCCGCCCTAAACGCATCTCGGTGGTGGATGTGGAGTCCGCAGTTGGAGTCATTCTTGTAATTAATTGTAGAAAGAAACACGGAATATAGAATCGAAGACGAGAACAGACCCAACGAACCCATCTTCCCGTGGCTGCTGCCCACTTGTCGCTTTGTCTCCCCTATACAAATAGGCGCAATCATGGCAGAGGATTTGACAGCCCAGCTCCTCAGCGTCCTAGCAAACAGCGACGGCCCAATCCTCACGTCCGACGAATTTCCCAATGCCTCTTTTGTCTCTGTGAAATCAGCGGTCGACAAGTTAAGATCACGGGACTTCATCCAAGCCGAGCAAGTCGACAGGGTAGAACTTGTGCTCACAAAGGAAGGCCAGGACATTGCCGACCACGGAAGCAATGGGGCTCGAGTCTTTGAAGCCGTGCGGGCATCCTTGGAGGGACTAAAAATCAAGGATCTTCCGACCGCTGTGGGAGACGCCAATGTCGCAAAGTTTGGATCGGGAGACGCATTCAAGCAGAAATGGGTCAAGAAGGAGGGCGACGTGCTCAAGGCCACAGTGGACCATATCGAGGACGATGTACAAAAACAATTACGAGAGATCCAAGCCACGCACAAGCTGGACAATCCGAAGGTAGTGGCGGATTTCAAGAAGAGGAAGTATGTGGTGGATCAAAAGACGATTGCTTTCAAGGTCTCTAAGGGACCCAAGTTCTCGACAGAGTTTGTCAAGGAGGAGGCCGACTTGACTGCTGAGATGTTGGCGTCCGGCGCCTGGAAGACGGTGCAGCTCAAACCATACAACTTCAAGGCCAAAGGCGCCCCTACCCCCGCAGGAGCTCTTCACCCGCTCAACAAGGTGCGGCAAGAGTTTCGGGAGATTTTCTTCGAGATGGGCTTCGAAGAGATGCCGACGAATCGTTATGTCGAGACCGGTTTCTGGAATTTCGATGCCCTCTTCGTCCCTCAACAACATCCTGCCCGCGACTTGCAAGACACCTTCTACATTTCCGACCCTGTGAAAGCGGATCCGCCCCGAGAAGATCCCGAGCCCACGGTGCCTGGGGCTAAATCGACGCCCGCTTCGGCCAACGAGCGGGACATAGCAGCCGAGAAGAAGTTGGATTACAAGCAGTACTGGGATGACGTGCGGGCTGTGCATGAGAACGGAAAGTTTGGCTCGATAGGCTACAGATACCCTTGGTCGCCGGACGAGGCTCTTCGGCTGGTTCTGCGGACGCACACCACTGCCATTTCGACGTATATGCTGCACAAGCTCGCCTTGAATCCTCGACCCGCCAGATATTTCTCCATCGACCGCGTCTTCCGCAACGAAACTGTCGACCAGACCCATCTTGCGGAATTCCACCAGGTCGAAGGTGTCATTGCCGACTGGGGCTTGACCCTGGGAGGTCTGATTGGGTTCATGGAAGTCTTCTTCGGCAAGATGGGCATCAAAAACCTAAGGTTCAAGCCTGCATACAACCCTTACACCGAACCCAGTATGGAGATCTTCAGTTACCACGAGGGATTGAAGAAGTGGGTTGAGATTGGAAACAGCGGCATGTTCCGGCCAGAAATGCTCGAGCCTATGGGCTTGCCCAAGGACATGAGGATATACGGCTGGGGGTTAAGTTTGGAGAGACCTACCATGATCAAGTAAGTTTGGATTTTCTCATGCGATCGGTCACGCTGCTGTATCTGGAATTTTGACTGACCTTTCACCTAGGTATGGTGTGAACAATATCCGTGAACTGCTCGGTCACAAAGTCGACCTCAATTTCATTGAACAGAATCCCGCCGTCCGGTTACACAAAGATTAGATTATGCATGTCTGTTTCTGTCTTGCAACTCGAGAATCGAGCCAGTTCAAGAAAGACGAAGAGTTCAAGCATCCAATTGGCCATAAACGGAGCAGTCAAGAAGCGTTCTCGACCGGGTAATCTAGAAATGATGATAGCCCTTCCTCCATTTTGCTTACGGTGATTTCCATGCATCTTCTTTTCCCCCTTGCATTAATCCTTGCTGCTGCTGCTTCTGCTGCTGCTAGCAATTTCCCTATGATTTTTCCAATCACTCTACCGGCACATCAAGGCTTCCCCAGACCATCCACTCCATGTCCGGGGAAGTAGAGACAATATCAAACCCAGCCGAACATTGAGAAAATAGCCGCCTTCTGAAGAGCTGTGATTGAGTCGAGATTAAGAATCAGAGCACAGATACGGGCGGAACATTACAGTATCTATAATACTAATACTACAGTGGTGGTGGTGGTGGTGGTGGTGGTGGTGGTGCTGCTGCTGCTGCTGCTGCTGCTGCTGCTGGACTCAAAATTCAAGACTCAAAATTCAATGTAGACCATGTTAAGGATGAGCATTCGCCCCGTGTCTTCTTCCACGACCCTTCGTTCCGTTCCCGGTTTGTGCCCATTTTGTCGTGATGGAGTCTTCTGGTGGAGGACCACAATCGAGATACCGGATGTAATTAATAAGGTACATACATACTGTTTGTCGGTCCCTAGGTAAGTGAGTAAATATTGCCTGATGCTGGAGATGTACAGTACTGGCAAGTATGGCATCATTAGGGAATTCCCCAGGCGGCCTGAATTGGGGGTCCGGGGGGCCTTTGGTAGATAGTAAGACAGCTAGGAAAGGGGCAGCAGACCGCGCTATTATCGCATGGACATGCAGTACATGCATCAGCAAACGAGTAGTATCATCAACGATGCGGTTCCAGTCGCTACATCTGGTCCGGAGTCGGCCTTCCTGAGCATGCTGTGTTTGTTAACTTTCTTACCCATTGGTTGGGTTAAGAAACATGTTCGAGCATGAGACCCAAAGCAACCGAGCGCCAGGGTGGAACCCCTAGCAGAATCCTTCATATGTGAAGCCACCATCAATCAACGGACAACCGGGGTCGAGGAGAAAACAAAAAGCAGAGCAAAATAGGAAGTCAATTTTGGGATTTTGCATTGATTCATCTGCATATGTCATGCTGAGCTGCATCAACACCCCCTTTCGAATGCATCCATTCGGAGACCCATTGATCACTGATTGCAATTGTGGTGTTGGTTGATGATCGCACAAAAGCCCCCACGGCGCCCTCATGCCATTGCCAGACGGTTCGGTTTCCTGGATATGTTCTTCCGCTTCTTGCCCATGCCCAGTCCATTCCATTCCAGCTCAAGCTCCCACACACTTGCACTCTGGCGACACCACGAAGATTCCACACCCCCACGTTTGATTTTCCTTTTTGCCCGCCTAGCAACTTGATCGGTTGACCGGTTGACACAATTGAACTTTTTTGTTTTATTCGAGAATCGGATCTATCTTCGTTTCCTCACGGTATTCCGGGGCCATTCGTGTAATATCTCGCGAGGATGAAAGCGTTTATCTCGTGGCCTGGGCGCTCCAGACGTTCTTCAAGAACCCATCCTTCTGCGCCAGTCGGTTGAGGGAGTCGTCGCTCTCGGCGCGCGACCGCACGAATCCGCAGAGCGCATAGACGTGGTTCTCGCCCGTGTACCGGCCGTTCTCGTCGACTTTGCCAATGCTGATCTGGACGGAGGCGTGGTCCTTGGCCTTGATGATGCGGTTGGTCGCGCTGCACTTGCGCGGGACGTAGCTGGACGCAAACAAATGTTAGTTTACTGGTCTGTATATCTCAATCGACGGTCTCTTTCTCCTATTAATCCTTCTCCTCAAAGAGTGGTGGCCAAAGGCACTCAAGTGTCTCTTCCTTGCTTGCTGGGATTATGCGGTGCTGGTGGAGGTGTGGTTTCTTACAGATCGACGATCTCTCCTCTCTCGTTCTCCATTTTGGCGGTTTTATGTGTGGTTTATTCGAACGAACGGTCGGTGTCGGTCGAAGGACGGCTGGTGTTGTGAGGGATGGGATTGGGATCTGGGTTGTCGTCGACAGAAAAGAGGGCCGCAGTTTGAGGGTGCGAAACTGAAATGTGCGTTCGGTGTGTCGTCGGACTTGCAAATTGCGGGCTTTCCGAGGCTTGGCGGCTGAACTCTTGGCAGAGAGGGCAGTGCGGCGTCTGATTCGTCAGTGCAAGACGACACTTCAATGCCTTCACCACGACAATCTACTAGTACAGTACATACCTAGGTAGGTATAACGTTGTCGTAATTCCTTCATGCAGTGTACTGGGTGCTATACAATGTACCTGTCACATCCTCCTATGCAAAGGGTAACGTGCTCTGTCAAATTAGGCATGTGAGCCGTTGTTGATGCCAGTCTTCTCGTCTCTTAAAGCGGCGACGCAGTACACCATTTTCACAAATACTGCAAATCGGAACATAGCGAGTAATAAATGGTGACAGAGATGGCCTTTTCTCAAACATCAACGCGAGTATACTGTGTAACGCTGGTGACAAACCACTCGGCCACTACTTTCCATCCTACCCGTGGTTGAACTGAGAACTTCGCTGAATGTAAAGGTCCACCTGCTAGTGTTATGCCATATCTCAGGCCCAGAGCATCTCTGCTCCAGATCATATCAGCCACTCGCATATCCTCATCCATGCATATTCATAGCTATCGTCGCATCATGTTACGTTACCAGTGCTCCATCCATGCTCCTGCTTAATTAATGATCCTCCCCAGATGTGCAGCGAGGGGGCTTGGGGAGCCAAATAGTCCCTCTGCGGGACACGACGTCCAAAAGAAATCCTGCTGCAAGTTCAATGCCCGTGCTATTCTCTCTTTCCGTCTCAGCCGGTCCATCCTCCAAACGCAGTTGCCAGATGATGTACACTACCTCCTGACCACACTTGGTCCCGTCATCCGCCCTCCGCCCGCAAGCAGACTCTGTCGGACGATCATCTCCGCAGCGGCCGCCGCAGCGAGCCGTTCTTTCTGTCGGGACCGGTCTCGTAGATAACTGGCTGCTTCAGGCCGCATCCTGAGAATACGTAGGATCATGTCATCATTGGGTTCGGCTTGGGCGGCCTTCCATTTCTCTTCTTTAGCCTTGCGCATGGTCCCCAGATTGCGGCTCAACATGATGCTCTTAGCACGTCGACCACCGGCCGGGTTACCGGCATTCAGCAACCCGCCTCCGCCCACGGCGCCTAGATTAGCAGGAGCGGAGAGACGGGTGCGCTGCAATTGCTGGTTGGCTGCGGTGGCCGAAGCCATCCTCTCTGATTCGCGGATCAGGCTTTCCGTGGGCTCAAAGTAGAAAAAGTTGAGCATTTGCAACTCGTGATATTTGGGGTTCTTCAGAATGTTCAATGGCACCCCGTTTGCTTCCCCGGTGTCCTCGTCAACGGCGTTGAAGAATTCTAACAGACTTTGCAGCCATTTGAAAACAACGTCGAGTTCTTGCTGACTCAAGGCCTTCTGTTGGGATGGTTTATCAGAAAGAGGAGGGACGAGCAGCCCTTCAATGGTAACGAGGACCTCTTTCCAGATCCGCGTCATGACAGCTTTCATTGCATCGGACGTCAGGGCCTGTTGCATGATCGCGAAATTGTCGTCAAAATAGTCGAATAACGGTTTCAACGCGTTGACGATCTCGGCATCCGTCGGCATTGCTGTAGTCATTGCTGCAGATGCTCGGTTTCGATTAAAGTATGATGACACGCTGGAAATGGAAATCCCTCGGTTGAGCAAAGACCTCAAAGCTCGGCGAGAAAGGCAGTGACTGATGTAAGCGGAGAGCTTGTCAGTGATCTTGCGAGTCATGTCCCGTTGGGTCCGTTGCAGATTTCTAAACGCCTTCCCGAAATAGAATTGGATATCGTCTCGCTCGCCTTCCATGCTAACACGGATCATGACCCTGCCCTGCGTATCTAGGTCAAGCCAGTATTCACGAGGAAGAAAGTCACTGAAATGGGACGGATCCAGCTTCAGGGAGGTTCGGCCCACGTAATCATGATCACCAACTGCATCCCAGTCCCAAATCGTTGCAATGAGATTCAAGGGCCCTTGCGTTGTGATATCCACGGACTCGTCCCATCGGGGGTTGAGGTTGCGGTACACTATCCTGCTCTTGAACAGTCGCTTCTGATACTCGTCCGTCAACACAACATATGGATCGCTGAAGCCGTTGACATCACAGGCTTTGAGGTCTTCTGCTTCAACTATCTTAATTGTGAAGACGTAATTCGACGTCTTGCGAGGTCGTTGAGGCGCTGGTGGAGTATTCTTCTTGATCACTTCGGCACAAGCATCGACGTTGACCTCAGACTCGAGTTTGTCCCACTCCTGGATCGCAAAGGAGATGTTGTTGAGTTTGACAAATGACTCGGGATAGAATTGAAACGGCTCGACTCGCTCCTTGTTGTTCCAAGTATCCTTGGCAAGTTGTACCCATTTCTCCTGCCGTGTCATGGTAGCCGCAGCCTCTTGTTCAGGTGTCAACCTATCCATTTCCCTGCTGAACATCTGGTCCAGAAGCTCGCAATATCTCGCAATTCCCCGCCCAAGAGCTTTAGATAGCGCAGTCATGAATTTCGCGTAGGTCAGATCATCATCCCAATTCAGCTGGCTGACCTGGTCAATGACTTGGCTAAACGAGCTGTAGATGTCGATGACTGACGTTGAGTGACGCTCGTCTTCTGTTGGAACTTGACCTGGATGTTGCGTCCTGACCATAAAATTGTCCTGCTTCACGGCGTTCTCGACCCACCCGATCACTTGTTCTTCGGTGATCTTGATCCACCGCCAGACGAAGTCTGCCATCAAGTGTTCAATCTTGTACGGAAATGGCACGTGAGGCAATGCTTCCATGTGGACACGACGGAATTCGCTCAGTTCCTTATACAGGTCGAACCCATCCTGGATGGCAACTTCGAAGCCGTCTCTCTGTGCAGTATTCAAGATCTGCTCCACCATAGCCTTGGAATCTTCTGCAAATGCCGGTAGCGTGCAGTTCAACAGAACCATCAATGGGTTAATACCCAGAATTTCTGGGTTCTTTCTGAACCTTTTCTGCACTCTTTCAGCCAATTTTAACACTGCTTTGGCCACTTGTTGTATGTGGTAGAACTCCCATTTCTCATTCTCTCGAGGTAATTCACGATCCAGCAGCTCGTCATAGATGCGTTGAGCTTCAGCAGCCAATCCATCGATAGCTGCGTTTTTGAAGTTCTGGAACTCCTCGCGATTCTGTGTGAAGTTGGGGTCGCTCTGAACGTGCTCGTCGATAATGGCCATGACAGCGCCAACCCTCTGCAAATCAGCTTTGTCAGCATAGGCGGTCATGATTGCCTCATAAAGATCCCGAAGTAGGGTTTCGTGTAATGTTCCAAGCACCTTCCCCATCAAAGCAAAGTCGGCAATGGTCCAGTTGTATCGATCTTGGACTGCTGGGCACATGATGAAGGAACTCCTTTTATTTTTGGGGTCTTCCTGGGGAGGGTCCTTGACATAATTGAAAGCCTCATCCAGCTTCTCCAAACCGATGGCCTGCTCAACGAATTTTTCGCGAATAACATCCAGAAACAAAACAACGCGAGTGAATTTGGGTATCCGCCATCTCAGTGCAATTTCATTCAGCAACTCCGTGGTCTTCTTGGAGAGCAGTTGGCCTCCATCATTCGTCTTATCGTTAAGGTCGTGAGAAAGAGCTAGGAGCATGATAAACCGAAACATAGCTCGAGGATCAGAAGGTATAAAAGTATAGATCTGTGCGGCGTTTTCGGTATGTTGTGGTGATTCGGCCGCATTCAAATCGAGAGAGCCTAGATCTGCCGGCAGATCCAGGACGTAGGAAGAAGAGTGAGACTGATGGGAAAGCACTCTCGAGACCTCCGCATACTGAGAGTCTACAGGACTGGTTGGGGTAGCGTGAGAGTTGAACTGGGGAAGATTGCCACCGGGAGTGCTCTTCGCCAGTTCTGGGTTTGATTGAACAATGGCTAGCATGAGCTGCGAAAGTTCAGGCCCCTCACTTTTCTTCCAAGACTCATACGCCTCCTGGGTATCGAAATCATTGGCATTCAAGGTCAGACTTGTGCCGAGATTGAGGTGCTGTTGGTAGGTTTTCAGATCCTGAAGTGCTGCCTTTTCCGTCCACACAGGCTTATACTTATTGATGTCGGACTGCATCATAGTATTGGTCAAACCAAAGATCTGCCCGACTACCTGGACGAGCGGCATGTCCTTGACATTGTAAGTCAACGGAACCACTTCCTCGACGACAGTCAAAGGCCCATTTGTCTGTGAGGTGGCCAGATTGTCGTCTCCCTTCAGCAACTTGGACTCTAGAGTCTGCAGCCGACTCGCCAGTTCGGGCTTGTCTCTAGCCCAGTCGCGGTCCTTCAGGATGAGACTTAGGAGACGAACGAATAGTGCAACATGGCGGTCAACCATGCGCTTGACTCCTTCATCTCCCGGAGGCTTCCCCTTCTGCAGCTCCTTTGTGGCATTTGAGAAGAATATCAGAACCAGATCCTCGGCTCGTCTGTCGGCCTCCATGCGCTTCTTGAACGCCGGGTCTGACAGGGTATTGAGAAAAATGGCAAATATCCGCTTAACCAAAGCATCATGATATTCCGGCCGCCGCTCCGTTCCTACCAGAATGCCTTTCAACCTCTTTTCCAGTTCCTTGATAAAATCATGAGGGTAGCGTGTGCTCTTCGAGTCTCGCACGACGGAGAAATCATTCATCAATTCGTGGAATGAGTGAGACGTCGTCGAGCGGTGGACGGCCGGTCTGGTTTCCACATGTCTCTTGCGGGTCGTGCGAGGTTGGAGGAGGTAGGAGAGATAGGCCACTCGTAGAGCGTATAGATATGCCTCATTTGCATCTATGGACTTTCCGCGCGTCCTGGAAGAGTCGCGGGATCTTCTGCCTCCATTTCGTACACCGTTTAGGCTCCGGCTGGGTGCTCTCGAGCGATGCGAGGATTGGGACATAGGGCAGGCATGAACCGGATCGATGAAGATGTCCCGTAGAACACCAAGTGTGAGCACTGTAAAAGAATTCTAACGGGAGAAACAGGACGCGCGGTATTGTGTGGCTGGCGCTATGGTGGTCGGACGACTGATGATCAGCGTGGCACCGAGACCATCAGTCCAGAGACCGGAGTGAGGACCAACCAGCCCGGGGAACTTCTGCGCAGTAGTGACAGAGGCAAATACTGCTGGGTTGGAGCCAACACTCTCTTATCAATCCGGAGGGTGTATCTGAGGATTCAGGCAGTGCGGCGGAGGCATAAATGGCAAACTATTTGCCAGTGTCTGGCTGGGGTTGAGTCGGTCCCTTTGTGAATTTGGCGTGTTTCAGGCTCACACTGAACTAGGTACGCTACGAGGAAATGACGAACTGGAACTGGAACTGGAGCCCGCAGCCTGAGCCACTGCCACTGCCACTCAGCCTCATCACGTGTCAGCATTTGCATTGTCTCCTGCGGTGCCTTAGAACTACGAACAACGCCGCCAGCATTCCGTTGCTCAAGATTTCCCGTTGTCTGCAGTTGGAAACAATCATTTGTCTCCTTACATCAATCGCAATGCCCTGCTTTCAAAGGACTTAAACAATTGTTGCCGGAGCGAGATCCCGTCGCACTGTTCGCGCAGCGCACATGATGGGAAGTGAACCGAGGTAGGTCGCTGATCTGTATAGTAGTAAACATCTGGGCTAGCCTACCAGCTTCTTTTTCTTCTTCTCAACCGCACCCTCCCATCAATACCTCCAGACTCGATCGCAAACAAAATGCAAATCAAAGATCGAACGTTCATTGTGTCCGGAGGCTCCAGCGGGTTGGGCCTCGCCACAACCAGCCTCTTCCTTGAGAACGGCGCCAATGTATCCATCCTCGATCTCAACCCACCTCCCTCAAACACCTTCTTTCACGTCGACTCGTCACGAATCCTATTCACCAAAACGAATGTCGCCTCGACAGAGTCCCTACAAACCGCGGTCAAGAGTACGTTGAAATGGATTCAAGAAACGACCTCAAAGCCACTGTCAGGAGCAATCTGCTGTGCCGGTATTGGGACGGCCGCGTTGTCTCTTCCGCGGCAAGATGCCTCCGCGACGCATGACAATGTGAAATATATGGACATGGGCACGTTTGACCGAACCATCGCCATCAACCTGCGCGGCACTGTCGACTTGATCCGCCTCACCATCCCTCACATGGCGCTCAACGAGCCCTGGGGCCCGGATGGCGAACGAGGCATTGTGATTGTGGTATCGTCGGTGGCAGCCTATGAAGGCCAAGTAGGTCAACTGGCATACAGCGCAAGTAAAGGGGCGGTTCGGAGCATTGTTCTACCACTAGCTCGCGAGTTGGGCCTGAAGGCTGGCATCAGAGCCATGGGAATCGCACCCGGAGTGTTTCAAACAGGTATGACGGTGCCGCCGAAGAAGAACAACTCCAGTTCGCCTGTCAAGAAGGAGGGCAACGAGAGCAAATCGAAGGGTGCTACTGGTTCGCGCGCAGCAGTGAACCCAGAAATGATCCAGTACCCGATGCGGATGGGCCGAGGGGAGGAATTCGCCCGCCTTGTGAAAGAGATAGTCGAGAATCCCATGCTCAACGGTGGAGTCATAAGGTTGGATGGCGCGGTGAGGATGCCTAGCCGTCTATAGTACGGAGTGAGACAATATAGTCACGCTTTTACACCCCCGGGGCCAAATTCTCGGCTAGTAGATCATAACATGGTTAACTACCAGATCAGGAAGGGTTGTGGTCATCATCGGAACGAAAGTCAAACAGGACATGGTCATCTCGCTTTATTGTCGAAAAGACCAGGCACCTAGTCGGTGGCAGAATTCTCTCCGCAACTTGTGCGGAGATTTGTATACGCGGTGCGTAGAGAATTCTACCATCGACTAGGTGCCAGGTAGTATTATGTCTACTTCAACTCCGGAAAAGGACGCAAATAATGCGCCGGACACTGATAACCATGTTCGCCCCTCTCCTCCATCTTCTTCAAATAGTCCTGATGGTAGTCCTCGGCATCGTACCACTGGGTGGCGCGCAGTATCTGCGTCGTGATCGGTTTACCCTTGTACCACTGTTCCTGGACCTTATCCTTGATCTCATTGGCGATCTTGAACTGCTCGTCATTCTCGGCGAAGATCGCAGACCGGTACTGCGTCCCCGTATCGGGCCCCTGTCTGTTCAACGTGGTCGGGTCGTGCATTCGGAAGAAGAACTCGACAAGTTGTCGGTACGAGACGCGGTCAGGATCGAACACAATCAGCAACGACTCGGCGTGACCCGTCTGTCCTGAGCACACGGCTCGGTATGATGGCGCGGGAGTCTGACCGCCTGTATATCCCACCCGACAGTCGAGAAGACCCTTCCCGTTGCCCCAATGTTTGCGGTAGAATTCTTCTAGACCCCAGAAACAGCCGCCGGCGAAGATGGCGCGCTGCGCGTTTGGTGGGAATTGCATCGCGGCCAGCGAGTCAGGTTGTAGCGATGCCGCTGCCGACGAGGCGAATGGGCGCAGAAAGCGGGTTAGGAATGTAGGCATTTGGAAGGCCATGATGGCGATGAGGGCCACGAGGAGAGTGCTGAGGAGGGTGCCGAGAGTGCTGGTCTGCAGTTTGCCGGTGGTGGTGGCTGAGAGTGGTAGTGGTCACAATGGTAGGTGGTTTGTAGTGTAGTAGCCCTGGAAGAGGTATGTAGGTAGGTACTGTCTGACTGCTATGGTGCCTTGGGCAATGATATATAGCGGCGATTGCAATAATGGGTGGCGGTATAATCGAAGAGTTGGAGGGCGGATGTACAACGTTGTAGTGGAGGGGCTGAAGTTTAATCTGATGAGGCGGCAACGATAGAGTAATCAATGCGGAGGATATAAATACTCTCGCACGTCATCCATCTCCGTCTTCGCACCAACGTGCAGCCGATGATTGACAGACAGTGATGTTTATAGGCATGCTGCCGCCGATGACCGTCCTACGGTATCAGGATGAGAGTTGCTCGCCGCATACCTCAAGACTATACCTACAACATGGTTATATTCAAATAGCGTTATGCATCATTCCTGAGCGGCGATATCAGCCCGCGTCGGTGGCTCCATCCTCACGTCAATCGAGTATATACCGTTGAACGTACACATAAACGTGCCATTGTGTTCCATCCCTACTAAGTCAACCTCTGCCCTAGCAGTCCCAGTGCAGTGCCACTGCTACTGCACAAGCTTCCCATCCTTCTTCGTCGCCTCGACAAATGTCCTCTCCGTCTCATTCTTCTCATCACCTACGCCACTAGTCTCATCTGCAGCATCAATATTTTTCAGAGGATCAGATGTCCTCGTCTTCTCAGTGGTCGATTCCGGCTGTGTCGAATGCTAGTATTGTACGTCAGCCTCAGCTCCCATTCACAGAGGTTCCCCTCCGCCGCATATCTCAGAACAGAAAGACACAAAAGGGCCCATGACTAAGCCAGCAAATATACTGGAAATAACCAGAATCAGGCGCGGCCAACATCATAAGACAAAAACAGAAGCCAAAAGCACCCAATCTCTAAAGCGAACATGACTGGGGTGACATACCTTTTGCTCCCCAGCAGTGGCGGCCAAAGGATGTTTGCTTCGACTGCCTTGCGACTCGGAACCATCTCCCTCATTGCCAGTGCCCAGATACCGCTCTTTGACACTCGCGCTTTCCCCCGACACATTGGGCTTGAATCCTCCGCCTTGCTGGCCAGAGAGGGATGCCATGTTTCTTTCTTCTTTCTTCTTTCTTCTGTTCGGCTTAAGAGTCTGATGATCCTCCTCAGGGTATTGGACAATGTAGATATTCCCCCGGATTAGACCCCAATGGACAGAGTTGTCAGAGTGTCAGACCTACTTATCAGTCTGATGAGGCAATGTGTCTCGGATATGACACTGATAGTAGTGTGGCTGTCGATTGTGATCAAGTAGAAAGTCCAGGCCTGGTGAAACGGGTGGAAACAACAAGCGGGGGCACACTCAGAAAATCGTTCGCGCACGCCGATGCGAAGTCGATGATCGATGGGCTGTATTATCTATCAGAGACACACAAGTGGTCACAAAACCACGTTGATAGCATGCTTTCAATTTGTACGATGCCGTGAGAAGATACGGCATCTCTGACGCAATGGTCAATGGATCGCCCCCACACACTGCAAGGCTGTGAGCCGGTGCCGGTGGGGAACAACTTCAAGGGGAGTGAATTATGTCCGCCTTTCCTCTTCTCAGCCTTGCCGCAACATTTCTTGTTTATGAACACGTAGTAGGCTTGATGGACTTGAACTGTATCAATAGTAATTTGTCTGGGATCATCATTCGTAAGGTCTAAGCACTCACTAACGCCGAACCGAGCCCACCCAAGATGAAGCCTAAGGCCCGGTCAATTACAAACTCCTTCCAGAGGTGTGCCATGACAGAGGCCACCTCATATTCAGAGCGCCGCCGTTAATTGTACAAACAGGCCAGCTTTTGATGGTCCTTTCCATGAAGCACCCGAGAGCCGTTCGTTCTGTCTCATTTCTCAATCCCTGGACTTGCGCCGCCCCAGATCCTGTGCCTGGGGCCTTCTCGAGCCTACCCAAGACCGTCCAACGCCTGCAAATGCATCCTCTAGTGAAAACACCATCTTGAACTGGGCAAGATCCTTCTTTCTTTTCAACGCCAGACAGTCTTTCCTGAAGGCATCAAGCTTCCCCTCGAAGCCGAATGACCATGTGAAGGAGCGATTGAACTCATCCTCACACCCGCACGATCTCCAGGGTTGGGTGTAGATCTGACATCGGTTCCACTCATCGTCGTGCGTCTGTTGCCGTGCGGGCCCACACTCTTACTATGGCTGACTATTCCATGGACGCGAGGACTCAAGACACCCACCTTCCAGTCGTTCTCCTTGTCATTCTTGCCCATAACCATCCTCCTAACGTGGCCGGCCGCAAACATGGAGTCCGACTGGGGCGAGCCCGAGGTAGCAGTTGCTGCAGTCGGTGATCGTCGTCGTTGTGTGCGCGACCCATTCACACCAGAGCGCCGAACTGAACTTGTCCGCTTGACGGCCTCACGAATTTTCAACGCCTCGTCTTTATTGGACTGGCCACGGTTTTCTGTGTCAGAGTTTGAAGCAGATGAAGTGCCGCTATTGTCAGCACAGCCGTTCACGGCAGGCTTATTCGTTGACGAGGGTGTGATGGAGCGTCGATTGGCGGCCTTACTTGGATCAAGCTCTCTCAACGGTGACTCGTCGCTGTCAGACGATGACAGGGGTGTCATTTTGGGAGGGATGATCGTGGAAGAGTTTGGGGATCCGTCAGACTTCTTCGACAGAAATCCAGCCTCGAAGCGACTGTTTTTGGACGGAACCGGGAGTGACACTTCAGGCGGTGGAGGGATAGGGGAAGAGCCAGGTGACGACGCCTGAGTGCTAAGCTTGGCGAGAGATGCAGTCAAATCCGGCACCTGTGGCGGTATAATCTCAGTCGTCGATTCTTCCTTTGGAGAAGGTGTAAACTTCTGAGGAGTCTTCTCAAACTCCGCCAGTGCACCGTCCTCGACATCATCGCGCCATCTCACCACGCGTTTGGCCGCCTTGATTGGAGACTTCCTCTTCTTTGGAGTAAAAGACACCTGAACACCCTTCTTCGCAGCACCTAGTAACGCTCGGCGGCGAGGGGACGCTTTGACAGGTGATGGCAGTACATGGGACGGCACGACAGACACTGATTTAGGTCGGAGAGGACTGCCATCCAACATGGAGCTGTTGACGTTCTGCTTGCGCCGCTTGGGGGTACCAGCTTTGGTCGGGGCAAACGCCTCAACTGGTGTAAGACTTCCATCAGGTTTCACCACATAAGAGGCCGCACTAGAGGCAGATTTCAGCATTTTACCCAGGATCTGAGTAGCTGACTCGACTGCCTCGTCCACACTCATCCGGTTGAGATTCTCCAGGGCAGCGATGGTTTCAAAATGGGCTTGCAGGAGCACTTGGATGGTTGCCGCGTCGCCGAACTTGTCTTGATCGTTCACAGCTGCAAGCGTTTCTCGTTCAGCGGTCGATCTGAGCAATTCAACTTCTCGTCGAAGGGTTTCTGAGTCGATCATGTCACCCGTGTCCACTTCGTTGAGCTGCCGTAAGCTATGCTCCAGTGCCGTGTTCATGGCCCGATCCCAGCTGCTTTTCAACACTTTCTGCTGACAATGGTGTCGACCACTTTCCAGCTCCATCAAGATCCCCTGGGCCGTTTTGCGGATTGCATGCATGTTCTTCATGGGTTCATCATCATCGAGGCCGTCACAAACAGCGTCGAATGCGGCAATCCACGATGTTAACATGGCGATTCGTCTCCCCAGTTGCTTGAGCTTGATCATGTTGTTTGTTCGTTCTTGTCTTTCAGCAGCAGAATGTTCATAAGCGCTGCGGATCCTCTGTACACCTTCCCTGGCGATGATCTCCTTTCTCTCGTTTTGCTTCTTGAATTTGGCAAAGGCCAAAGCCTCGTAATCTTTCTGCTGTGCTTTCAATTCGTTGATCAACGCCATCTGTTCATCGATCTTGACCAAAAAGTCTTTGACATGGCGATTAACGTTGTAAACATTTCGTGTGACCTTGGTCTGAATGTTCTTTGCTCGGTTCGCATATCTCAATGTATTTTGCGTCTCATCAAAATGGGCACTGGACGGACTGACACAAACAATCATCACAGTTTTGCAGTTGCCACCGAGAGAAAATTTGAGCAGTCGCGTGAGCTTCGAGTTGCGATATGGAACATGGTTGCGCTTGCGCGGGTCGCACAGGGCATTGATGCAGCTGCCGAGAGCGAGGAGTGACTTGTTGATGTTGGCTCCTTCAAGCAGACGCTCTCCCCGATTTTTGGTGGCGCTGGCTCTTTCACTGCCTGCCAGGTCGATTATACTCAACGTGGCCATGGTGTGGGGTTCCTCGACGCTTGCATTCCGGTCTTTCTGGGCCACATTAATCTGCAGGACCGCGTGGGATCGCGAAGAGGTAGCGTTGGCTTCGGTGGGTGACATTGTCCTCATTTCATTGCCTTTCATGATCAAATCCATCACCTCTTGTACGTTCTGTGGACGATGGCTCGAGAGTCCCGCAACAGAAACTGTTTGGTGGGCATCCTCTCTCAACATCAACCCTGCCTTGCTCCCCGGTGGCGCAAGCAGATCGCGGATCGTTTCGTTGTAGATCTCCAAGTAAGACAAGGAGATTTCGGTCACCTTCTCCGTGGCCAGCTCGGCTACCCTTTCAAACAACTCCTGCATTGCCATGAAAATGATTCCCGGTTGTTGTACCGTTCCCGTGATCGTGTGCGTCTTTCCACAGCCGGTGGCACCGTAGGCAAACACAGTGGCATTGTACCCATCCAGAACACTGTCCAGCAGGGGTCTGGTTGTAGCCTCGTATACTTCACCCTGGGACGCATTTTCGTCGAAAATTCGGTCAAATCCGAATGTCTGGTCCTTGACTCGCTTGCCACTCGGAACAAGAGATCGGGAGAATTTCTGGACAGGGTTGTCTTCGGGAGGATCAAAGACTCTGTAAAAAATGTCAACCAAGTCTGTCCGCAAAAGTAATCGCACTACGTACAAGCATTTATCGTCGACGACTTTGATTACGGGCCTGAGGCCTTTTTGTGATAACTTCGGAGCAGGCGCAGGTGCGAGCGAGCCATCGCCGAGAAAGATAGTGGTGTCATCACATTTGCTGAGTTGAGCCGCTTCTCTGATCGTAAACGGTCTGACACGGACGGTGACCGAGATTGAGGAGGCGCCATCAGAGGTCATGGTTGTTGTTTACCTCCTGATGTAGTTTATGCGCTGGACCATGGGCATAGAATGGATGAAATGAAATGTCTAATGGACCGATTAAAGCCAGCTAGTTAGGGCATCAACAACAGTTCGGACGTCAGATGCAATGGTCAAGGCCGTTGTGCACAGAGAGAGACTCGGGGTGTGTGTGGAGAGCAGGCGTTCAGTTGTTAGTTGCAAACTGCCCGTAAGGAGTGAAAGAACAGCAAGAGTGTCGCGCTAGTGGTTGGCAGAGCAACGCACTTCTGCCCCAGGTTTCTACTACAAACTGCGCTCCCGCTACCAGGACCTAAAATATGATCGAGCCATGCCAGTGCTCGAGAATCTGTTTCACAAATCAATCCTAGCTGCGAGTGCCCTGTATTCTAAGTATCCTACTATTTGATGCAAATCATCATTGTACCACATCATACATATGATGGGCACATTGGGCTCTTTTTACCAATCCAGACACGGTGGGCAATTGTTTCCGAGCCTCTGTCTCCAGTGAAGCGCGTAAAGCTTGGTTAAAGCTTCCTCCAGATGAACGCGACAGTGGAATGACCCTGTCTCATCACTCGATTTCGCCTGCGCAGTCATGGCTCAACGGACGCACTCGCGGAATCCGGCTTCCCTTGCTCATCGCGTGCTCGTACCGCTCTACCTACCTCGGCCGGCACACCCTTGTTGGCCAGTCGTGCAATGACCAGCTCGAGAAGAGATGGCTAAGCGGAAGATACATGGTGACAAGCACAAATACCAACCTCATCAACGGGATGCGTCTGGCCATCAGCGAACCGCAACGACGCTCCGATAGCCGGCAGCGCGCAAGGCAGGACAGTCACGTGATCTCGGTTAACCACGGTTGCAGGTGGCGGCATCGGCCGCCATCAGCCGCGCTTCTACCCACGAGGCTGTATCCACAAGGCAGCGGAGATGTGCAACTCGCGTATCATCGTCACGGTTGCCAGTTCTTTCGAGATAGCATCCCGCTGTCTTCCAGAACCCATCGGTCCACCTATATCCATGAACCCACCGCAACCTGTAATTATTCCTTTATTATTAAGAAGTTGAGTACAGCCCTCGCGTTCCTCTCTCACGTCTGTACTATGCTACGCTGATCGATCTTGAATCCCTTCGTCCCAAGATGGCCCTTTGTCTGCGCCCAAGGGCCGCGTTCCGCATGCGGCCGTGCCCTCACCCCCTTCTACAACACTTGCAACCATCTTCTCTTTCGCAATGTGTGGCCTCGTCCCGCTCACCGCCCGGTGCTCCCCTCAGTCTACTCCAACCCTTCCTTTCAGAACAATGCAGGAGTACTCATAGTAGACGTAACGTCACCTCGACGGCATACGAGATCAAGGAAGAATCACCAGTCACAACAGACATGTCTCGAACGACGCTGTTGTCCCCCCTCCCCCTTTCCAATGTGATCCGTTCGTATCTGATCACCTCCGTTTCCTCCATTCCGATCCTGCTCCGACCTTCACTAGCCGCCATGTCCTTCCTCGCACATACAAAGTCTCCGCTCTTCAACCCGGACCGCAACCCCATCCTGCACTTCTTGCTCAAAAAGACCTTCTATGCCCAGTTCTGCGCCGGCGAGACACCGGAAGAAGTCAAGCAGACCATTGCCAGTTTGAAGAGCATTGGGTTCAAAGGGGTGATATTGGGGCATGCAAAGGAGGTGGTGCTCAGTAAGGAGGAAGAAGAGGGGCTCGATCAGGCAAAGGACGCTATGGAGCAATCTGAAATCAATGCACGTGAGATCTCTGGCTGGAAACAGAATACCATGGACACAATAAACCTCACCCAGCCGGGAGATTTTGTGGCGCTCAAATTTACTGGAGCGGGACGGCAAGCCCTCCAGCACCTCAAAGCAACCATTGCATGCTCTCCCGAATTCGAACAGGCAGTGCATGACATGTGCAAGCTGGCTCAGTCAAGAGGAGTAAGGCTTCTTTTCGATGCTGAGCAAGCGTCCCTGCAACAAGGCATCGACAATTGGACCATGTACTTTGCGAAGATATTCAACAAAGAGAGGGCGCTGGTATTTGGGACATACCAAGCATATGCCAAGAGAACACCTAAAGTCCTTGCAAGCCATCTCGACGTGGCAAGGAAGGAGGGCTTTGTGCTAGGCGTCAAGCTCGTTCGAGGAGCATACCTTGGGAGCGATCCACGAGAGCTTTTCTGGCCAGCCGCCGAAGATACACACAAATGCTATAACAGTCTCGCCAAGAGCATCATTCAGCGACAGTACGGAGAGATGCTCCAGCCAGTGGAAGGAGGTTCATCCGAGTTCCCTCGAGTAAGCCTCGTACTGGCTACCCACAATGCCCAATCTGTCAAGATGGCCCTTCAGCTACGTGATGAACAAGCCCGAAAGGGTGAAGAACTGATCGAATTGGCATATGGACAGCTGATGGGGATGGCAGACCACGTCAGTTGTGAGGTTGTACAAGCAGCAAGGGCCCGTGCTAACGCGCAGGATCCCCACCTGGAGGTTCCGAGTGCATACAAATATTTGGTCTGGGGTAAACTAGGTGAATGCATGAAGTATCTTCTTCGTCGGGCCCATGAAAACAAGGATGCTGTGAGCCGGACGGTCGAGGCGAGGCAGGCATTGGCTCGGGAGTTGGGCAGCAGGCTGGCTTTTTGGCGCTGATCAGGACGAAATGCTACGATTGGAGAAGTGATATGAACCATGATGGAGGGTGCATGCTTTGGAAATGCTTGATTTCTTTCTGGGTCTTATCTTGCATCTATGCGGCGTTGTTGACAGCAGAGGGGCATCGGGCCATGCAAATGTTTGTGTATACCGGGAGGGTTGTCTTGGCCTGAGTGTGCACATAACTGTCCAAAAATTCTCTTTGGGACTGATGGAAGCAAACAATCCCGTTCTCGATCACCTTGAATCTCTATTTCGCCTCTGTCTTGAAGTCTGTGTTGGGAAAGGACCAGTTGGTACGGGTAGCTGCTGCTGTGCCGCCATTTTCCTAAGACACGTCGTTGCGGTGGTGGGAGTCCTCCCTCAACTTCTTTGTTCCAGTGACCCTTCAGTCTCTGTCGCCCGCCCCGGACACAACGCGCATGTCACTGTTCACGCGTGTCCAGTGTTGAATCTTCACTTTCATCTGCTTCACTGCCACCGTTCTATTTAGATCTTCGTTTCAAAATGGCTTTCGCGCATGCACCCTACTCGCCCTCCCTTCCACCTCATCGCACCCTTGGCAACTGCTCCACGAATCTACCTTATCCACCATCGCTCATCTACAGCGACGACGGCAGTGAAAGAAGCGAAGATTCAGAGGTCTGTCTTCAACCTGACGCTGTGGCTGCCTTATCATCGCAACTCTTGTCAGCCTGACTGCGACACGGAAAAAACAAACTAAAAGTTCGCTAATCAGGCACCAACACAGGGAATGATGGCGATAGCAAACGAGTCTGACCATGTCTACGACGTGATGGCGGAAGCTCTGAACCACTTGAGCCGGGTGGTGGAACATGTACGAGACTTACCCTGGATGTTCCTGCATGCCGACTAATCATCGACAGCTTCGGGATGAGGGCGAAAACGAGGCAGCGAATGACATTGCACGGGATGTCCATTCCATGCTTGACACGTTCAACACCACTACAGGCCCTTGGGACATGAAAAAGGTCCAGATGAAGCCTCTACCTGCCCCAGCACGTCAACCGATCATACGTTCTCGAGCCACCTCATTGTCCGACGCGAAATCGAATGCCTCCACCTGGGCAGCTGTAGCTGCCACAGACATACCGGGAAACAACAGACTGATCAAGTTCCGGCCTTCCGACGCTCTAAAGCGCCAAATAACCAATGAAGAGCCACCGGTCCAGCCCAAGGATGGAGACTATCGTTGCGTTTGGATCTATGGGTGGACAAAGGATAAGCCCCTGAGCAGGGTCAGTGAACGAATCACTACAGGAGCCATCTTTTCCATGGCCTTCGTTGAGGAATACGGCGCCGTTTGTGTCATCTTCCAGTTTGCCCACGCCGCTGTGCTCTTCTTCGAAGAAAATGCACGCATCGTTCGGGATTCTGGTGCGAGTGTGTTTGGGCCTGGTGTGTCGGTCAAATATGGAGAGCCCTACCCAGAGACTGCCGACATTCGGCGTATGGCAGCACCCGCCAATGAGCGACGTCGCCTCACGTTTGCCCGTTCGCAGCTTTTCACCAATGGCATGAATGAGGAACGGTTCAAGAATGACCTGATCGAAATGGTCGGACGACAGAATGTGGAGTTGGTGTGGCTGTTCAACACAGGAAATGGTAAGTTTTGTTTGTCTAGACAAGTTTGTATCTGACCAGGACAATCCAGCAACCGCCGTCTTCTCTTCCACAGTCATCGCTCGCATCGTTCGGGAGGAGTTTTTGCGCCGCTCAAAAGCAAAGGGACCATATCACGATGTGGGAGTGGGATTCTCGCATGATCCTTGCGAACGCCCTATGAATCTGATCACTCAAATCCCATGTCCTGGAACCTCGCCGCGTGATCGGAGCAATAGCAGCAAGTCTGGCTCGAGCGGAAAGTCGACTGCTGCCAAGGTTGTCCCCGGTGCTGTCAACCGTGGTAGGAAGGGAACCGATCCTGATGGCTGGCAAACCGTCCACCGAAAGCGCTAGACAGTGGACTGTCACCTGGCGGCTGTGGCAGCGCACAAGGCATATGAGTCCTATCAGAAGGATTTAACACAGACAAGTGTCATCCAGCTTAGATGATACCAACTGCTTGGAAGATACATGGGATAGATTGCAAACATGGGGAGAGAGCTATGCATGTGGAAGGCCGGGCATAAGATCGTCCGGATTGTCCAAAAATGGCTGGCAGGTTGGTGTCATCTGGCGAAAGGTGTATCATTACACGAGCTGCAAATGGCATTGACCGAGGAGAGATCGAGGGAGAAAATCGGCGAGTCCAAAAGCTTCGTTCCATATCCCTAGGTACTAGTACTACCTTATTGCATTAATGCAGTTGGTTGTTGACGTTGAAATAATCAACATCTCCACGTGGGGGCAGCGGAATAAATATCGACCCCCGTTTTTCCTTTCCTGTTCTTCCTTTCTCCACCGCGTTCATCTGAATGGCTTTACTTTGCAGTAGTTCTCCAGCGTGTTGCCTGTCAATTCAAGCCTAATCATGATATTGTGGTTTGATGAGTATCCCAAGGTCCTAATCGTGGACATTTCCTCACGCAAGATGACGCTCGCTGTTGTTACACTATCTGGACCTGGTTGGAGAGAAAGGAAATGTCATCCAAGCAGATTGCACTGCTAGCAATAAGACCGCCTGTCCTAGTGACTGTACGGTGAAACTCGTCCACTGCGCATACTATTAAAACTTGGGACGAAACAAATCAGTAAGTAATAACCGCTCAAAAGAAACCGCTCAAAAGAAAAGCAAAAAGGACAGTGTTGGGTGCAAAGAAGGGGGTGCAAGGGAGGCTGTATGTAGCCTGTGAGTCAGTATTGGCATTGATATTGTTGGTCTCACGAACCAGGGGGAAGGAAAAAGAGACTGAAATCAAACCAAAAAAATCAATTTGTTTCATTGTCCCCTTTTGTTTTGACGGCACCCGGCTTCGAACCGGGGTCTTCCTCTACCTCGACACTGTCTGTCACTGTTTGTCCCCGGCGGCGAATTCCCCCAAGCGAGACTGGTCTTCAAACATGGGGCCGGACCAGGAACAATACTGGACTGGCTGGCTATCTTTTGGTCTGGGGGGAGGATGTGCTATACCTCTGCACTATACCGCCGCGATCGGGAATCGGTCTGGTTTGTTGGGATGTTTTTGGAGGGTTAATATCATATTTGTGTCGCGGTGTTTTGGTTATAGGGATGGGTGGCTGGTTGCTGGGGTGTTGGGGTGTTCGGCTAGGGCGGTGAATAGGCTGATGAACAGGGGAGAGAGACGGTGAAGTCAAGTGAAGTGAGGCCGGTCTAAATCGAAGTGAAAGGAAGGGATGGTAAGGTAGGCGGACGGGAGGGGGACATGGTTGTATTGACTCCCTACCAGGTAGGTAGGTGTGTGCTTGTCGACAAACTAGATACTTAGGTACCTTTATACTATGGGTTGCTTGCTTGGTGACCACCACCGGCGGAACAGAACTAAATGGACAAGGCTGAACTATCCCCAGGTAAGATACAGGATATGTCTGCACAGCATAATATTACACGGCATAGTTGGGATTACGACAAATTGGGATCGGATCACATCTTATGGAAGGAGGATAATGAAGGCGCTATAGTAGGTAGATAAAGGAGTAAGGTAGGTCATCAGGAGTCAGTTCGTTAAATCACACAGATACCTGATTCCTTGCAGTGTCGGCGATGCAATGCCGTGGCTTACTATGGCCTGGTCCACACGTCCTTTGTACCGGATATGGGTAGTGAAAGGAAATATGACCGTGAGGCCATGGACGAGAAGAGAGACTGTTCGCTTTTCGAGGGCCAATTTGCCCGAGAAGTAATGCCCAGTATCAAGGGCACAAACTTGAACTATCCACACAAATACTTGATCTCATATCTGCCATAGACGAGTGGTGCGGGTAAAGCTCAAATAACGTATGCCGGGATTCGTGCTTGAGCGGATGAGGGAGAGGAAAGAATTATGACGGGG